GCGTTACACCGCCCCCGGCACCGCCTCGGTACCGCCCCGGCACCGCTCCTCGCGTTACACCGCCCCCGGCACCGCCTCGGTACCGCCCCGGCACCCGCACAGCAGCGGGGGCGGGCCGGGCAGAGCTGGCGGCTCATCCCAGGCGCTTGTCCCCCTAAGGGCGGTGCCCCGGTTCTCCTCCATAGTCCCTTTGGACTCCCACACACTCGGAGCGAGCGATCTCCGGTTTGCACAGTGACGCTCTCAACTGCAAAAGCTTTTAAAAAGAGAGTTAAAATCTAGAAGCATCTAGATCTGGCATCGTGTGATGTGGTTTAGTGGTTTAGGAGTTCCAGAGGTGGTGCTGGGTTGGTGGTTGGACTTGATGATTCTATGATAAYAATATTATGATTTAAACACAACGGAACAAGCACCACAGCAGTTACCCTGCATATGTGGGTGGATTGCATCCATCCCATGTCTCCTCAGCAGTGCTTTTGGAAGGGCCAAGAGCAGAACCAGCTCTCAAAGGCTGGCAGCACCAGGTTCTCCTCAAAAGGGCCTTATAGAGCAGGACCAGGTAAACTTGTAAATAGATAAATATAAAATAGTACATGTAAGGAGAGGTAAYCTAATCAATGCAACGAGATAGTCATCCCAAAGCTGTCAGGGACAGGCTTTCAGCCTTGTGCTGGAAGGTCTTGGAGGCAGCACTGGCAGCTCAGTTTATCAGTTCTAAATCCATTACCCATCTGAAATGTGTGGAGACACTGACCAGGAAAAAAAAAAAGTGAGGATGAGGAGAAATCCAAGTTCTGATTGCACATTTTATTCTCTTCTGCAGGCTTGTTTTCCCTTTCTAATAAAAATAAATCCAAGAACTCTTGTGTTCCAAGCAGCTGCAGSATCTTTCCCAGATCCCATCCCACCTCTCTTCACCAGCCACTGAGGGAATGGCACAACAGTCTCTGGTAAGTTCCACAGCATCTTTTATCCCAGTCACCTTTTAAGCTCCTTATCTGATCTGCCTCTTCCACAAGCACTTCTTAAGTCCTCAGTCCTTCCTCTAGTAGCTCCCCTGATAAGGAGGCCTTTAACCTTCACAAAGCAGCTCAGCCCTGGCAGGTTTAAGGATGAAAACTCATCCCAATGAAGCSATGCTTTTCAAGAAGCATCTTTTTTCTGACACTTCTCCTTTCCCCTCACTTCAGGCACTACAATGAAGTATTTTATAAAGTCTTTACCTGGTGCCAGAAGTCCAGGCTGTTACCCCCAAGACTGCTGCCTCAGCAACCTCTTAAGCATATTTATTTTCATTTATTCTCTCTAGATGTTTCACTGGGCAGCTGAGGTGGTCCCTCAAAATTACAAAAGTTCATGCTTTTAGTTGAAGTTAATTAATGGGGATTTAGTTTAGGTAAGGAAAAAAAGTTTATGCCAGTTCTTGGGACACACCATATTAAGCAATAAGCTCCAAACACTTGGTAAAAGGTACAGGCATTAATATAAAGTACTGCTTTGCACACCAACTTCTGTTGCCATAATTTATTGGTTGCTGATTTAGACCAGTTTATATAACATGCAAAATGAAGAAAACCAATCACTTTTTACAAAAACATGGATAGCCACAGTTGAGCAATTCCAGGAGTGAATGACAAATCCAGTTCAAGTCTCAGTGAAAGTGATAACTGACGCACATAGCTTTTCTTTTTTTCTCTCTGGTAAAAGGAATTGCTTTGTTTATGACTAGAAACCAYACAGATGACTCTACACATGAAGTATTTAATTATCCCTATTTGGTAAGTTCTTTACAGCCAGGGAAGCTGCTCAGCTGCAGTAGCACAAGGGAACAGGGAGCTCTCTATGACCATAGCTCAGCATGACATGGGAAAGCACTGCTGGATTACAGTTTGCAAATCCGATGTGTTTCAGTTTCCATTCCTTTGTGTCTCAGTCATTTCTGGCTGGAAATGGGGAGCTAAAGGCACCAAAACCCTGCTGTGCCCAGCAGCCATCAGACACATCCTGCTGGGTGTGCACTGCATCCACAGCTCTTGGGGAAGGGAGCAAAGCCTGCCTTGCCAGCAGCCCCCAGCACTGCTGAGCAACGAATAATCTGCAAAAAAACCCCAAAACCCCAGGCCCAACCCACCTCTGTCACAGTGGAACGCTGTGCAGTGTGCTAAACACCTTGCTACTGAATCAACTCCCCTTAAAATCAGCAGGAACTAAAAATGTGCAGCGCTCAACATACTTATTCCCATTTTTATCCTTTGTTCATGTCTCTCCATACCATTCTCAGAGGGCACTGTAAGGGAATTTCAGGAGCTTCAACTCCTGACCTCCCCTACAAGAAACCCCAAGAGAAAAGAGATTAAAATTAAAGCAAATTTAAAAACAAAATAATCAAATACCCAGCATATTTTAAGTCACAAAAATTAAAAGCAGAAGCATTATCTTGGTTYGTAAATGACAACTTATCAGGATCTTTGCTTTGTGATGACTTGAGCATAAATACACCTAAACAATTTTTCTAAGGCTTCTTCCAGCTAATTACTAGCATTTTAAAAAAAAAAAGACAGGTTTTTTTTTTTTTCCTTTTCACATCCTAAAGTGGAATTTGAATTAGCAACAGGTTGCAGGAAGTCTTGYTGTCAGACAGGCTGCAATACAGCAGCGTGTAGTGTTCTTTCCCAAGCATCAGCTGCTCAGATTTCCACAAGATTTTCCCAAGGATGGCTAAGGTTTGCAGCGCTGGACGAAGCGTGGATAGAGACAGACATCTCGGATATGGTGTCTGTTCAGAATCCAGGTCAGGAACCGTTCCAATCCCAAACCATATCCTCCATGAGGGCAYGTACCATATTTTCTCTGTGAAATTCAGAGACAGGATGTTACATTTGTTTTTGTAATTTATAGC